CTCCAGAACACTGTCTTCTGCCGAGCGCAACTACGCTCAGATAGACAGGGAGGCTCTGGCTGTTGTTGCTGGAATTAAAAAATTCCACGATTTTCTAAATGGCAGGCATTTCACGGTCTTCACTGACCATAAGCCTCTGCTGGGACTGTTTACCACACGTAAGCAGACTCCCCACATCATTTCCCCTAGAATGCTTAGGTGGTCTATTTTTTTGTCTGCATATGATTTTTCATTACTCCACAAGCCTGGGAAAGAAATGGGCCATGCTGATGGACTCAGTAGGTTGCCTCTGCCAGTAGTAGAAGCTGACCCCGCGCCAGCTGTCAACATTCTATCAATCCAAGCCTTGCCCGAGCTCCCTCTTAGTGCCAGGGATGTTACCGCTGAAACAGGTACAGATCACACACTTTCACGTGTCCGCTCCTGGGTCCTGTCCGGGTGGCCTGAGCACTGCCCTAGTCCTGAGTTTCAGAGTTTCTGGTCCAAAAGAAACGAACTGTCCCTTTCTCAGGGTTGTCTGCTTTGGGGAAACAGAGTTGTCATTCCCACCTCAATGAGGACTAGGGTCTTAGAATCCCTCCACGAGGGTCATCCTGGCATTGTTCGCATGAAGGCTCTTGCACGAAGCCACTTGTGGTGGCCTGGTTTAGATAAAGATATTGAGGCTAAGGTACACGCATGCCACCTGTGCCAACGATCTCGCCCAGAGATGCCCCAAGCTCCTGTGCATAGATGGGAGGAAACACAGTCCCCATGGTCTAGGGTGCACATTGACTACGCTGGGCCCTTTCAGGGCCAGTTCTTCTTGGTCCTTGTTGACAGCCATTCAAAATGGCTTGAGGTTGTGCCTGTCTCGTCCACCACCACTGCAAAGACTATTCAGGTACTGAGGGGGATTTTTGCTGCACACGGGCTGCCAGATGTCATTGTGTCTGACAACGGCCCTCAATTCACCTCCTCCGAATTCCAAGCTTTCTTACAGGCAAACCTGATTCGTCATGCCACATCTGCGCCTTTTCACCCATCCACCAACGGTATGGCTGAACGCATGGTGCGCATCGCAAAGGACGCCTTGAAGAGACTCACCTACGGGGACTGGCATCACAGGTTGGCTGACTTTCTCCTTTCTTATCGCACCACACCGTCCACTTCTACAGGGAGAAGTCCAGCTGAACTTCGTTGGGGGCGCCAACTTACTACTAGACTTGACCGGTTGCATCCGGACAGACTGCCTTCATCTACCTCACATCCTAGGGCACCTAGACAACTACTTGTGGGTGCCCCGGTTTGGGCTCGCAATTACGGGCCTGGTCATACATGGGTCCCCGCTTCTGTGTCCAGGATCACAGGTCCTCTCTCCTACGAGGTTGCCCTGGACAACGGTCGTGTCCTGCGTCGGCACATCGACCAACTCCGCTCTAGGCGGGACTTTTCTGCTGAAACTCCTGGGTCTTTTCCAGGGGGGGAGGGGGACCCTTTGGAGCAAAGGGAAGGGCAAGAGCTACTGCCCATCGCCACTGAGGGAGCCACAAACGGCTCGTCCCAAGATTCTGCAATTGCTCCGAAAAGGAAGTCTTGGAGCTTACCCACACAACAGGCACTCACGCCTACTCCAGCCAGGGAGTTACCCCGGGGGCATACTCACTTTCCACACACAGCACACAGCACTCCAGCAACGGAGGATACCCGGGGGCATCCCAACAAATCATTCCCCGCAAGAGAGCTGGCACACAATGCCCAAGGTTGGCCTGACCTTACCCCAAATCCTACAGGGGGTCAAACATACACAGAGCTAGTCGAGGAACCAAGTCCCGACTACAACACCCCTAGCACAAATCAGGGGACACCTGAGTTTTGGGAGAGTACAGAAACCCACACGAGCCCAAACACAGAATGGGGTTCAGGGAATAGACAGCCTCCTGACAGGTCTTGGACTGACCTAGGGGGTTCTACAGAGACGCCCAGCAGTGGCTATCACTTCAAGGGGCCTGAGGGGCTACAGCTAGGTAGGACAACCAGGTCACAAAGCAACAGAAGCCCTGGCCTGACGAGCCCGGTGGGCAAGCAAGCAGGCCAGGCATCGGGGCACAGTCCTTGGAAGACACCAGGGCACAGTAGAGAGAACAGGCTCATGCCTCCCTCCAGTCAGGGGACTTATGCCAGTAACCCAGAGCTAAGAAGGTCACAGAGAGCAAAGAAATCTCCTAAGTACCTAGAAGATTACATAACATTGTTGGCAAGACAAAAGCCAGTAAACAGTGGGAACACTGGGGAGCAAATTGTCGTGTAAAATAAATGTTGTATGTTGATAGTAGTTTTAGCCCGGGGGAAAGGGGTGTTATGTCCCGAGCCTTGCAAACGGCTCGGGCGTTTGCAGGCAGTCCCGGGCAGGTGCAAAGCTGCCCGGGACCAGACAGGCTGTCGCCAGCGCCGTGCGCATGCGCGGGTGCTGGCGCGGGAAAAGTAACCCATTTACCCGGGAGTTGCCTATATAAGAGGCTGTGAGGCGTTTGGGCTGAGCTGAAGCCATCTTCCTGTAAGCTGAACGCTGAATAAAAGAACCTGAGAACTCCAGCTGCTTCTCGTGTCTGTTTTCCCGCCAAGGACGCAACAATGCTGTTATTCAGAATCAAAGCTGCACAGCCCAGAGCACCCTTGGCATATCCTGAAGATTCTTCAGGATAGGGCATATATTGCAGGCAATCCCCAAACCCTCTAATCTGGAAGCATTTCAACCTTCTCCCATAATACTGGCTTCAGACCATATTTCTTTACTGAGACAAATTGGATGGCCTGTCTTCCTTGGCAATGCAATCACCTCAGCTCAACAGCCCAAATCCCTTTGCTGAATAGGATCTCCATCACTTTATATATGCCTGACTGGCCTCCATTTCTCTTTATTTTGTCTCCTGCCCTAAGGCAATTCTGATATAATAATTTACTATTAATCTAAAGTGGCCCATTCAAGTCAACCAAAATCCATTCAGTTTAGTGTACTTTATTTATGCATTTACAATTTCAAATTGTTCTTGGTTTATATGTTTCATTGCACATGTCCTTGTAAAATTGCACATGTTCTTGTAAAACAAGAAACTGCTTTCAAATACTGACACCCTCAGTGATTAGATTTTCTTTGGTCTAGTGATATTATCACATTCAATTTTACTCATAAGAATTCAAGATGTTTTTCCAATAATTGGAAGAGTGCCTTCCTGCTTCACATTCTCATCATATGGCACTTAAACTTCACTTCATATTTCAGCCATGTTCGTATACATTTCTTGCCAAAATACCAAAGCAATTTGCCATTTCTTTTTTGGAGTTTGATTGTGGAGTTTCTACTTAATAGGCAAGTTGGCTTTCCTTAAGCCTCTAGACCCCTGCCTGTCCTGAGTTCTGTTATGGGTTTCTATTAGCATCACTCTTACCTTTTGGAATTTTATTTATTTGGATTGATTAGCTACCCAACTCCAGTGGACTCCTATCAGCAATAAAACCCTACTAGGAGCTCCTGCTCCTATCACTCATAGCATTACTGAAGTTATTGAGTAGTTCACCATATCATGGGATGAAGCCAAAATAAAAGGTAACTTTAATTATAGAAATCCCAGAAAATCTTAAAATATTAAGTGGTGCTTTCGTATTTACCATCTTCTGAATGTGTTTTCTCTTGTGGCTTACAAACTGCATCAGACCAATCATTCCCAGGAATCTTTTCTTCAGTTCCCAAAGCTGTGCAACTAAATTAAATAAAAATGGAAAGTAATAAATGATATTGTTTTTGGATAAGACATGCTAATAAAGTAATGTATGTTTTGGAGAACATACTAATAGCATAAAGAGGTAGTGAGGCAATGCTTAATGCAATGACATTCATATCAGATACTATAGTTCCTTCAGTAAATTATTGGGTTCTTTAGATATGATAGTCCCCTGCCAGTCAATAAGGTGGACCAGACCAGGAAATCAATTCCACAGGAAGTCTAGAATTATATTGTAATAGGCTATAAATAACAAAATCTTGCAAGCCTGGTTATACTTTACTTCCCCTTTTATATCCCAGTGAATTAGGGAGAATTGTCCATGATATTTTCCAAATACTATCTTCTTTCCCAGATTTTAAGGAAAGCTTTAACCCTCTTTGCTTATATGATAATTCTTTCCTATTTTCCCCAGTCACCTGGACTCTCTACAACAGTGGTTCTCAACCTTTCCAATGCCGCGACCCCATAATACAGTTCCCCATGTTTTGGTGACCTCCAACCACTTATACATCACCGGGTGCCAGGGCCGCGGCCAAAGAAAAGGGGGAAAAATGGCGGACAACCTTGTTTGGCGACCCCCGTGAAATGGTCGTTCAACCCCAAATGGGGTCCCGACCCACAGGTTGAGAACCACTGCTCTACAACTTCTCTCATAATTCCCCACCACTTGGGAATGGTACGGGATATCAGGCTACCTGATCTAGAGAGAAGCAGACTGTAGAAAGCTGACTTTGATATTACGATAAAAGAGGAAAAAGAAAGCCAATTTCATGTATAATAACTTATATCTAATGAAGTTCAAAACCAAATTTGTAAATATTCATTCCTACTCTGTTTAGTCCTGATAGTCTCATATGTATATATGGGACTCTGAGAAATAATGATCAATAAGGAGGCCTGTTAGTTTTCTACAGCAAGCCAATGATTGCATTTGAATACATAGATCTAACACTAGCCAGAATTTTTAAAGCAAGCTTTATTGAACCAGGTTATCATGACATTCCACACATTATCATTATATCATAACAAATGGGTTTACAATAATGTAAATTGCATTATGATGATCCCTAATCACTACTCAGTTAAAACAATTTTTAAAAAATACTTCAATTTTTTTAGGATAGTTCTTATTCATATTACCTTAAATTAGAGTTCCCCAACATTTATAGCTTTGTGGATTGGCGGGGGGGGGGAGAGGGGATGGTTCAGCGCAAGTAGCTAGCAAGTGCGCATGCAGCTCACTTAAATGGAAGGTGCATGCGCACTCATCGGCTCATGCAAGTGAGGATGTGTTTCTGTGGCCTGGTTGTAAACCCTTCACGGCCCACTAGTGGGCTACAGTCCACAGGTTGGAGACTCCTGCCTTAAATGTTCTTTTCATAATTAAATGCTCAAATCAGTTAATGTTTCAGCTTATTCCATTCATTTTAACTGAAGAAAAGAAAGGAATGGAAGAGAAATGAATTTCCTTAATTTCAAAGAGTAAACAATATTCCTACATCCTTTTTGTCTCACAATCTATTTCTCATTTCCCTACTGCTGTGCTTCTCAACCTAAGCAACTTTAAGAAATGTGGACTTTATCTCCCAGAATTCCCTAGCCAGCATGCTGACAAAGGAATTCTGGGCAATGAAGTCTATATATGTTAAAGTTGCTGAGGTGGAGAAACACTGCCCTACTGCAAGTCTCAATTTTAGATAAACCACAAATACTTATGAATTGGTGCTCAGGAAAGAAGCAAACCCAGCCATTATTACAAAAACTAAAGCAATTTTAATATGCATTTATTAATATCACTAAGTATACACGATCAAGCAAATGAGGATGTCTAGATTCTAATTTTCAGAGACTAATAACTGGCAATGACAAATTGCTCCATTTCTAAAACCAGCCTCAGTGTTTCTAAATACAGTACAGCACAGACATCCAAAGGTTTTCTTTGTATCTTTGCTATGCACTGTTAATGAAACTTACTTTGTCCAGGCTTTGCATGCATCAGTTGCAGAGGAGACATTAGAGAAATAACCAGTGGGACATGGTATGCACACTGTATTCTTATCTTGCTGTACTGTGAAAATATAACAAGTAAATACACTGAGCAGAGCATCACTTCTCTGAAAAGCATCACTTGAAAACAATTTGCTGGTAATCAAATACTTAAGATATATTTCTGTACATAGTAAAGTGCTACTATTTAGAACACTTCAGCCTTTTGACTATTTCTTAGATAAAAAGGGAACACTGGACTTTAAATCCTTCAAGGCACTGGAAGCAACCATACTGATTATTATTTTTGCATCTAAGCAGGTTCATATACATACAGATATACACCTATACTTTCATGCAATTATAACACCAAGAATGTTCTAAATAACCAATATGATGTTTAAAGTATTATTTCTACACACTGTTCTTCCCATGATAAAACGGTTAGCTAACAATCAGACAAAATAATAAAAAAATAAGATATAACATTATAAGATTAATTGAGGCATATCACCCAGGATGGAAATTAACCCCAATTTCAGTGGCATAATATTAAGCAATGTGGAAGAAAACCACATTTCTCCAAGTAGCTTCATTATCAAGACATTGCCGTTGACAATCCAGCTCATCAGTAGTACATTCAGCGGGGTTGAGTAATAAAATAAAACTTTCAGAGATGTTAATTTAAATCTTACTGGGAAATTTCACTCCAGAACCGGGAGAGCATTTTGTGTTTCGTCGACAGCAATCACAGTCTCTGTTCCAATGGTAGCCAGCAATACAAGCACATTGTCTTTGGAATGTGCTGTTTCCTGGAATCACTTCTATTAAAGCTTTTCCTTTAAATGCAAAAAAAGGGGAAGCGGGTCGAAATTAAAGTTTAAATCATGTATTCTGAGCCTCCTCGACATAACGTTTATATCATAAGGGACATTGCATCAAGGCCTCTTTCTAAGTGAGGCAATGCTTGCATAATGTACAAATTCCTGACTGATTCTGAATGCTGCCTGTTGCAATTCAAAGTGATACACATGGAACAAGTGTTAGCTGCTATGTCAAGTATTAAGCAATAATAAAAATTCAAATTGTCAATCAATGGTATTATAAATGAAATCACAGGGAAACAAATAAATATGTGGTAAGTGATGAGAATTGAAGAAAGCCTTATAGAAAAACTGAGTGCTCATGGTTTATTGCAGAAAAAAATGGTCTAGGATTGAATGTTACAGTTGAGCATGATGTTGCTCAATGTTGTAGAAGGTTATACGGTTCATACAAGAAATTTCCTATGGAGGCTAAAGGGATGATTTAAACAGAGATGTCCCTTTTCTTGTAGGATTTCAAATAGGGTGTCTATATGAATTCCAGTAATATCCACCTTTTGCTTGCCTAAGAAAGGCATCCTTACCTAATTAAAAATATATATAATTATAGTCCTGTATTTTGAAGCTGATAAATGTCCCTGAATTAAGGATTGATGAAGAAAATTCTGCAGCACTAAAGGGAATGGCAGAGAGCGAAGGATATTATTTCTTTTTGTTTTGCTGTATGTTTTATTTTGGTGAGATATAGGTGTCTGTGTTTGTGACATGCTTGTGTCTGTGTGTTTGTACATTTCATTATCAGCCCAAATCAATCCATTTCAGCATGAAGTGCTCTTCACTGAAGATTACATATTGTAATTTACCATGCTGGTCTACTACAGACTGATAGATGTTTTCAGCTTCCCAGAATGTAACTGACCCAAACTCAGGACTGGAACCTGGGTCCAAAGATATGATCTAAACTTTGATACTCGAACCCCATCTTTTCCATACAGTACTTTGATTATGTTATTTATCTCAGACCTCATCAATTTGCCTTCTGGGATATTAATGTCTTGGGACAGGCCACACCTATGGCAAGATACTTGTCATCTAAGCAGTCATTTTGTGAGAGTTGTCCTGACATTCTAAAATCCGTAAGGGATTTTGATTAAAGCTCAAAGAGATTTTGGAACTCCCATCCTCTTTTCCAACTGTTCCTCTTCTGTCACCTCCACCAACTCAAAATACAAGTCTTCATTTGCTCTCCTAAAAGTCATCTCCCTGACAAATGAGAAGCAATGTAACAATCCATGTGTTTTCCTTACCCCTATCACATATTTTATGAAGAAAACATTTTTCCTCTTCATTCCAGATATCCATATACTCATTTGAGCCACACGGTTTGCATACAGTCTCTGAAAAGGCAGTGCACTTTTTGGCCATGTACTTTCCTGAGAAGAATAACAGAAAAGACTGATTAAATGTCCAATACTTCAGAATTAGCAATATTGGCTTTCTCAGGCCTACACGGATCGCCTTAGTGGAGTCAGCACATGGCAAAATATGGCCAATTATGACTGAATAAGTGGGCTGAACAACCAAAACACATATTGCCATCACTTTAGATGCTTATAAACATTATCAGAATCAAACACTTGCTTAACAAAATTGATTTAACAACAGAATTGGAAAATCTATAGTGAAGCATGTAGTTAGCAATTACTGTCTATGTAGAACATGGAATTTCAAGATGTTTTTAATGTACAATTGCTCTGCCGTACGTGCGAGAACTTATAGACTGTTCAGTTATTGTTGCCCATATTTTCCCATTATTTGTATTTCAAAAATTCAGAGAAAAGGAAGAAATAAGCACCCTATGGCTTTTCACATTATAACATAAACTGCCTGGAAGCACCACAAGTCTTTCAGGCTCTTCCTTGGAGGCCTCTTCTGATTGGTTTTAAATGCTGAAGCTATGATTCATTCTCTTTAAATAGCTTATGTGATTCAGAAGCACTGTCTGCTCCGAATATGACCACCTAGGAGGAAATTGTCCAAAATGAGTTGAGTTCAGAACACTTCTTTCTGAACAGAATTTATTCTTCGAGACTCAGGGTTTTCCCAACTGTTGTGTAGAACTATATTCCTAAATATCAATGAGAGATACACGGCACTGCTAAATTAACCACTGCAGAATGCATAGTTTGAGAATATAATTGGCAAACACAATTCTGAGTAGATGTATACAGGTAATCCTTGACGTATGACCACAATTGAGTCTATGATTTTGGTCCTAAGTAACTGTGGTCATCAATGACCTGACACAAATTTACAACTGTTCTTGGAGTCATTAAGCAAATCACGTGGTTATTTGATGATCCATGTAGTCATTAAGAACTACAGATAAAAAGATAAAAAGAAAGGTAAAAAGGACAAGTATAGAAAGTGGAAAGAGGGGCACATAACTAAGTCAGAATATTAGCAAATAGCCTGAGCCTGCAAAGATGAAGTGAAGAAAGCTAAGGCTCAAAATGAACTAAGGCTTGAGACCAAAGTCAAAAATAACAAAAAAAAAGCGTCTTTCAACAAAACAAGAAAAAAGTGAAGGAAACGATTGGTCCATTAGTGGGTGAAAGTGGCAAGAAGGTGACAAGCAATAGGAAGAAAACAGAACTACTTAACTCGTTTTTTGCATCTGTCTTTACACAAAGGGAAAAAACAGACCAACCTATAAAAATAGTGCCATAAAAAAACAGAATAGAAACACAAGTTAAGATAGGCAAGAAAATGGTTAGTGAGCACCTGTCCAGCCTAGATGAGTTCAAATCGCCAGGACCAGATGGATTACATCCCAGAGTTCTCAAGGAACTGGAAGATGTGATCTCGGAACCACTGAACTATATTTTTCAAAGATCCTGGAGCACAGGGGAACTACCAGAGGACTGGAAAAGAGCTGATGTAGTTCCGATCCTCAAAAAAGGGAAAAAAATGGACCCAGGAAATTACAGACCTATCAGCCTGACCTCAATACCTGGGAAGATCCTGGAAAAGATAATCAAACAACGAATCAACGAACACCTCGAGGCAAACAAAGTCATTACTAAAAGCCAACATGGGTTTGTCAAAAATAGATCATGCCAGACAAATCTTATTGCATTCTTTGACCAAGTGACAAAATTAGTGGATCAGAGGAATGCTGTGGACATAATTTACTTGGACTTCAGTAAGGCATTTGATAAAGTAGATCACAACATACTACTTGACAAGATAGAAAAATGTGGGTTAGACAGCATCACCACCAGATGGATCCTTAGCTGGCTGACTGCCCGTACTCAGCGTGTGGTCCTCAATGGAACTGCATCTACATGGAGGGAAGTGTATAGTGGGGTGCCCCAGGGCTCTGTTCTGGGCCCACTGCTCTTCAACATCTTCATCAACGATTTGGACGAAAGGATAGATGGGGAACTCATCAAATTTGCAGACGACACCAAGCTGGCAGGAATAGCCAACACTCCAGAAGACAGGCTTAAGATACAGAAGGATCTGGACAGACTTGAACACTGGGCACTATCTAACAAAATTAAATTCTATGGTGAAAAAAGCAAGGTTCTACATTTAGGCAAGAAAAACCAAATGCACAAGTACAGCATAGGTGGCACCTTGCTCAATAGTAGTAACTGTGAGAGGGACCTCGGAGTCCTAGTAAACAATCACCTAAATATGAGCCAGCAGTGTTCTGCAGCTGCCAAAAAGACCAACACAGTGCTAGGCTGGATTAACAGAGGGATAGAATCAAGATCGCGTAAAGTATTAATACCACTTTACAATGCCTTGGTAAGGCCACACTTGGAATACTGCATCCAGTTTTGGTCACCACGATGTAAAAAAGATGTTGAGACTCTAGAAAGAGTACAGAGAAGAGCAACAAAGATGATTAGGGGACTGGAGGCTAAAACATATAAGGAACAGTTGCTGGAATTGGGTATGTCTAGTTTAATGAAGAGAAGGACTAGGGGTGACCTGATAGCATTATTCCAATATCTCAGGGGTTGCTACAAAGAAGAGGGAATTAAGCTATTCTCCAAAGTGCCTGAAGGCAGGACAAGAAGCAACGGGTGGAAACTAATCAAGGAGAGAAGCAACCTAGAACTAAGGAGAAACTTCCTGACAGTGAGAACAATTAATCAGTGGAACAACTGCCTCCAGAAGCAGTAAATGCTCCAACACTGGAAGTTTTTAAGAAGAAACTGGACAGCCATTTGTCTGAAATGGTATAGGGTTTCCTGCCTGAGCAGAGGGTTGGACTAGATGACCTCCAAGGTCCCTTCCAACTTTATTATTATTATTATTATTATTATTATTATTATTATTATTATTATTATTATTATTATTACTACTACTACTACTACTACTATTATTAAGCAAATCCAGCATATCCAATGGGTGTTTTTATTGGGAAACAGCAAAAAAAGTCATAAATTGGGATGTGATTGCAAGATCCTGCAATCAGTTATAAATGCAAGACAGTTGCCAGGTGTCTGAAATGCGACCACATTACGTGTGTATGTTTGTTTGTGTGTAGGAGTTATAACTTCAAGAACAAGTCATAATTAGTTGTTTTTGAAGTCTGTGATAATTTTAAATGGTTGTTATACAACAGCTCGTTAAGCTAGGACTACCTGTAACTCATTCTTTGAATTTTGGCTCCATAGCTTGGCATTTAAAACCCAAGTGTGGGTTTTAGCCTCAAAATGTTTGCACAGTTCTGCTCCTAAGAAACATAAAAAGTAAGAGATTATTCTCTTACTTATAAATCAATTTTGACTTATGCATGAGAAGAATGTTGTTAGCATATTACCTGGTTCACATTTGGTGCAGCATCGGCCAGAATATTCATAATGTTGCTCACTGCTACAGGAAGGCCTGACTTGTAAGTACAACTGAAGGACAGAACAGAACAGTAATAATACCTTAGTTGAATTGCTTTTAGTTTAATACATCTTTCAAGGATACCCAACTTTTATTTTTGATTGTGTTTAAACTATACATTTGTATCATTACAATTGGTACTCTTCAGGTATGTTGTACAATGACTTCCACCATATCCCAACCAGGAGAATAGCTATTATAAATCAACATTTCAGAACAGCATAAATTTAGAAACAGCAGTATAGGTAATCCTTATTTAGCGACTGCCTTGTACAGCAACTGTTTGTAGTTAAATGATGCTGAAAACATTTGCAACCAACGGCCATATTTATGATCTTCACATCTCTGTCTGTCATATATTTGCCATTACAGTCAGTTAGCATGCATTGTCCTGTGCCTGACCATTGTTTTTCACCCAACCCCACACAGAGATTGGCTAATAAAGCTACTTTTTCCCTGAGTTACTTTTCTTAGGAGCACAGTGTTTCCCTAAAAGGTCCTCACAACAAGTTAGCAAGCTTAGTAATGTGATCATAATTAGTTGATTAGAACCCTTCAGACGCTTGTAGCTGCTGCTTGAAATTGACAAGCCTCTAATCAGTTTCACACTAAAGATTTTTGTTCGCCTTCTAAGTCAAGTGCACTAGGTGAAGAGCTGGTGCTAGTGCATTCCTTTCAATGTGTATTCTCCAATGTGTGTCTTCTTACTCTGTTGTAACCCCTCCCTTTCCTCTGAATGTAGATACAAACATCAATTACCTTGCTAATTATCCCAGCACCTGGAAAAGCATCCTAAAGCAAGGGTGTCAAACTGCCAGCCCACAGGCTGGTTTTATCATACCGAAGCCACGCCCACCCCAATGCCGGCAATGCAAAAAGAGTCGCGATACATCACGACACGTCATGTGACGTGGCGAGTTTGGCACCCATATTCAAAGGGTGGGGAGTGGAGCTTGGGAAACTTTCCTGCCATTTAGGCTTACCCAACAATTTGTGATTGTATTCTTTTAAAAGAAAAGCTGAGGTAAAATTGTAAGCACATTTGCAATCCTGTAATTTTTCACTTAGCAACCAAGTTGTTAGTTCCAATTTTGGTCACTAAACAAGGACTACCTTTATATTAATATATAATTAATGACTTGTAACTACTTTTGGATATATTTTTTTTGTCTTTATATTTAGGTTTACCATATCTGGATGGCTAAAATCCAGATAAATACTAGTTGGCAGCAAAGAGAAACAATAAACTGTAAGGATCTACCTCAATTAGATCTCCCAAGAAAGCAGAACTCCTGAAACAGGCATTGTTTCAAAAGGAACTTTTATTGAGAGTTAATGATAGCAAGAAAGCAAAGCAAAGTTGAGGAATTCACGAGAAAAAGGTTACATCACAATGCCCATTTAGAACTCCTCTCCCCAGTGTCCAACTATTTGATTGAAATCCAGCCAATCCATAGATGCCAGGTTGTTTTGAGAACCTGGTGATTTAGTGCTCATCTCAAGGTCTCTCTTGGTTTCGTTTCCCAATGGTTCCAGGCTCTGTTTTCTGGAGATAAGGCAGATGTGTTCAGGTCACATTCCTTTCTCATGAAGGGAGGATGTTTCAAACAGGACAGAGCAGAAGAAGATAAATACATTCCCCATTTATAGGTCATCCAAATTTTTGCAGCTGGATGTATCTCCTCTTTGGCTTCTATTCCTTTTGGACTGCTATTTTAGATAGTTCCATTCAAGGTGTTAATATTAAGGCAATCTGCTTGTATTAAGAAAGGCAATATAACTGCATAGTGAATGTGGAGAAGTTAAACTAAGAGCCATGAGCATATGAAGAATGGACAGAAAAAGAGGCAAGTGAGAAAACACACATTACAATGTTGTGCCACAACCTAACAATAGCAGCCCAAGATTGATTAAAGACTTTAAAAACCTAAAGGGTTTTTAAAAAGTAGCATTTTATGGAATATTTAAACATACTTGTTTTATCTTTGTACATCTTTAGTCAATTCCATTTTGAAATATTAAACAAAAACTTGAATTACCACTTTCCTGGACCTATAATGGTTCTACTACAGGCATCTAACTTTTGATCCAAATTATGTTCACATTGGGAAGGAAATATAAAAAAGCTTCTTCTGACTTTTTTTTTAAATTGAGTAACTTCCAATATGTACAATTTTTTAAAAATATAAATGGGTATTTATACCTGCTTCACAGAGTTTCATTTCATCAGAAGATAATTAATGCAAGTGAGCTGGGGAAATTCCCAATTCTCAGAAGTCATAATCTACTGCCTTCTAACCATGATAATGAACTATACTTTTGTGATACTTTGCAGTAATTGTTTGGAACTATTTGAACAACTTACTCAAATAGTCATGCCATCAATATACCTGGACTTGGTTAATAACTAATAAACACATTTGATCAAATAAGGTAACCACTTAGCAAAATTTGTAATGTTATAAAATTGATCTAACTTTACTGGAGCCTTGGCAGGCAATCATTTACTGTATGTAAACTCTTTATCCAGGAAAAGAGAAAGGTACACAACAAAAACCCTCTGCAGTTTTCTATTACCTCACCATAAACATGTATGGAAAGGCCTCCTCAATCTCATGAGACTCTCGCAAAAATATAATTCTGGATCTCAATTCTAGGAATATAACTGAAGTTAGTGTACTCATTCCTAACTCTCCTCCCTATGTACCTCAATGCTCCATTACTGGAGATTGTCCAGCAAAAGCTGGATGGCCAATTGCCTGAGATAGTATGAAAAACCCTCCCCGGGCCTTATGATTTTGAATGTAGAATTGGAGCATGGTGAAGTGTGATTCTAGTCGGAGAATAGGAGTTTGGAGGAAACAAGATTTTATTTCATTGACATTTTTTTACAAGCCAGAATGATATCAAAATGTCCATAAATGGACAATAAACAAATGATGAAATGATATAACCAAGCCATGATATCATACTATACAGCTGGTCCTCAGTTTACAACCAGTCATTTAGTTACCATTCGAAGTTACAATGGCATTGCAAAAAAGTGACTTATGACTATTTTTCACACTTAAGACTGTTGCAGCATCCCCATGGTTGTGTGATCAAAATTCAAATGCTTGGCAACTGCAAATGACGGTTGCCGTATCCCTGGGTCACGTGATCAATGGAGAAGCCAGATTCCCTAAGCAACCATGTTACTAACTTAGCAACTGCAGTGATTCACTTAACAACTGTGGCAAGAAAGGTCATAAAATGGCATAAAACTCACTTAGCAACTGTCTGGCTAAGCCACAGAAATGTTGGGCGCCATTGTGCCCGTAAGTTGAAGACTATCTGTAACTATATAATTTCTACAACAGTTAGCTAGACAAAGGAGTTACTATTAAGAAAAGTAGACAAAGGATTCAAACCAATTCATATATTTTATTCTGATGATGTTACCTAGTTTGGTAATGAAATGTCTGCAAGACAACTACCAAGCTCAGAGAATATTAAGGATCCCATATTTTATTATTTATAATTAAACTCAGTTCTATTTCTAGAGAACAAATGGCAGAAAAAGGCATTTTTCTGATTTGTGTCTCTTTCTGGTGCTGTCCATCACTATAACTATCACAATCTCTTGCATGGTGTTCATTTGAGTAATTTAAATATACCATAGGTCCTATTCAATGTAAAGTAACTTTGTATGAGTAACCATAACAATATCACAGCACCTTTTAAGTCAACTAAATAAATGTTCTGGTTTTATTCACATCGTCCTAACACATGAAATGGCTTGTGTGGTTTTGGCGTAGATTAGTCATTGTGGTTTATTTAATAATCTTGACAGTTATGGACAGGTGAAACTTTAAATGACTAGGACAGTGGTGGCGAACCTATGGCACGGATGCCAGAGGCGGCACTCAGAGCCCTCTCTGTGGGCACGCACGCTGTTGCCCCAGTCCTAGGCCTTCAGCTGGATTTTATAAAACCTTTTCACTTTAGGCTTCCGCTGCCGTATGCGGGGAAAAAAAAAAAAAAAGGTTCAATCAGTCAATTTCAACTTCTCCCGGGAAAAAAAAAGATCTTGCAAAGTTGGAATTGATTGATTGAACTTTTTAGTCCCACCCAGTCTGCTGTTACCACCGCAGCCATGCCCACCCAATGGGCCACACCTACCCAAGGAGCCACACCCACCCGGCACCCGACGATGCATAAGTGGGTTTTGGGTTGCAGTTTGGGCACTCAGTCTCTAAAAGGTTCGCCATCACTGGACTAGGAAATTGAGCTTCAGCCTACTCCAAACAGCTCTAAGGAATGGAAATATAATATAAATAGGACTTTTGTTAATAAAATGTTCAAACTCCCAATTTAAATAACACCAATTTTTTTAAAAAAAATAATTTCAATGCAACAATTCAGTAGAAAGGGGGCTAGAAACCATATGCTGTCATGGATATTCGATCCAATATAAATCTATTAAAGTTATTATCAACAGGACAAAGACTGTGACTCTTTTACCATGTGGTGGCATATCATGCTGAGCCTTGTTATTCTGGATATCCCAACTGATATACCACTATTAATATTAATTAAGCATATGCCACCTATCTTATATGCCAGTGGTGGCGAACCTATGGCACGGGTGCCAGAGGCGACACTTGGAGCCCTCTCTGTGGGCACACGTGCCGTTGCCCCAGCCTTGTCTCCCCCGCGACCCCCTCCTCTCCAGCAGACCCCTAAAGGAGAGTCGCCTCCAGCGTGACCCACACGGAGCAGCACAGACAAGAACATGGCAGCCAGGCAGTGTAGACAAGACTCTGTCCTCACACCCCATCATGCAGTTGCTAGCGCTGCTGGGCTGCCTGGGCGATCTGCGGCAGGCCCTGGAGGCAGTGAGTGGTCCTGTGGGCAGGTGGGGCGGGGGATGGGGGGGCAGGGCAGGGGTGGGGCAGGGGTTGGAGAGGGAGTGGGGCCAGTTTTTGGGCACTCAGTCTCTAAAAGGTTCGCCATCACTGTTATATGCAAT